TGAGATCCCGCGGGCCGGGTCCTCAGAGCCAGCTGCCCAGGTGGAGGAGGGAGAGCAGGGGCGTCCTCAAGGGCGGGGGGGCACCCTCTGTGTGTCTTTGCTTTGGCAACTCCGGGAGCTGACGCGGAAGTGCTCGTGCTCCTTGTGGGTCCGGAGTGAGCGGAAGCCGCGCCCCCTGTAGGTGTGCACCTCTGGGAGCGAGCCCTTCGGGGTTAAAAGCAGCCTTAGGCTCTGCCCATGGGAATGTGCTGGGGGGGGGGGTGCTGCGACCCGGGAGAGGCCTGCCAGGCCCTGAAACAGCGGCGACCGCCCCACCCCCTCCCGGCACGTCGCAGGGAGCGCTGCAGTGTGAGCGCGTGTCCCGCCGCTGGCTCCCCATTCGCTCAGCACCTGTGTTGAGTATCTAGAATGTTCCAGGCTCCGTTCTAGACGCTGAGGGTATGTGCGGAGTGATTAAAGGGGGGTGTGGGGCAGACGGAAAGAAAGGAGTGGTGGGTTACAAGTAAGCGTAAGGAGAGAAAGCAGAAACGAGGTCGGGGCTCCGGTCGGCGGGCAGTCATTTGGAGCGACATCCAGGGAGAGCCGATGGAAAGATGACAGCCAGCCAGCAGGGCCCCGAGGAACGGCGGAGCCTGGCCATGTCGGGGGGAGCATTCCAGGCTCTTGTGGAGTGAGCAGGGCCTCATGGGGCTGGGCAGGGTGTGCCGGGTGGGGACAGGAGCTGAAGTCAGAGGCCCGAGGGACCTGTGCGAGGTGGGGGTGGTTGGGAGGAGGGGGGTGGGGGATGTGATGTGATCTTGCACTTCTCAGCAGGCCACGCTGGCCACCGTGTTAGGCGACGCCAGGCCGCCCGTGGGGGAGCCTGCGGCACGGAGATTCGGGTGCGGGGTGGGCCGGGCCCCCGCGTGGGAGCCACGGGGGGGAAGGACTGCATTTCAGGTGCATTTGCAGGCGGAGTCCCAGACTGCCCGGTGGCTTGGCTGTGGGCGTTCCTGAGTGTGACTGGTAAGGGGGCAGGACTCCAGTTGAGAGGGAAGGGTGGCCCCTTGTGGCCGCGTGGAGTGGGTGGCCATTCCGTCGGGTCGTCAGAGCTGAGCCCTCCTGGGGGTGCGCTGGGGAAGGAAGCAGGTGGGCTTTCGGGAAAGCCTGCGTTTTAAGCACAGTGTTCGTTTGAGAGCTCGAGGAGGCCTTCTCGCATCGCGGTCCTCCCCTTTCCTGTGGGTGGAGAACTCGGGGTTCAGGACATCCGTGAGAAGTGGGCCTTGTTAGGCGCTCCAGCACCTGGGAAGCGGTGCGGGCCTCCCTCCTTCTGTGGGTCCGTCCCACCCCCTCCT